TCTGTTATAATGAATCAATCTTCGATAGATCGAGGGTTCTTTAGATCGTTATTCTTTCGTTCTTACAGGTATGGTTTTTCCCAAGTCTTTCCATTCATTGGCCTCTTACTCGAAATTTGATTTATTAACACAACTTGATTTTCAGAGACGAGGAAAAGAAGATGGGCACCCTTGTGAAAGAAGAGTTTGGGCGTCCAAACAGAGAAAATACTATGGTGTGTATTGCAACATGTCTGGGAATAACAAATATTCTGTATCATAATCCATATGGATTTGATTCCTTGATTTTTTGAAGGGTATGAGACATGGGTCCTATGATAAATTAGATGATGATGGTCTCGCCCCTCCCGTGAGTAATTCTGGTTTATTGTCAAAATCTTAATTTAGCTGCAATATTTTTAGGTTTTTTTTTTCTTTTCACATCTTTCAGGGGACGAGAGTCTCTGGCGAAGATGTCATTATTGGGAAAACTTCTCCAATCGCTCAAGATGAAGCTCAGGGAGCAGCTTCAAGGTATACACAACGTGATCATAGTACTAGCTTACGCCATAGTGAAAGCGGGATGGTGGATCAGGTACATAAAGTTTATTCTTATTCTGCTGCAGTTTGTTTTTGGAAAATTTACATACCTAGCACATAACTCTTATGTATTTACATATCTCACACATAATAAAGTTTCATATTTACATATATAGCACTTTGGCGCATTATCCCTATGCTTGAAATGGTGTATTTTACTTTTTAAAAGATAGTAATAATGCTATTTTTCTTTTGATATTGAAGATTTGAGTGGTTTATGTGTGTAAATGGGGGAAAAAATTTGCGTGCGATAGACGTACGCAGCGCTGGGTACAAGGGGGTTATATCTGCGGTATAACCCCTTGTAACCTCCCTGTCTCCCTGTATCATTCTTGTATCATTCTGTAACTTACCTGTAACCTACTAATAAATTCTTAATATATGATAACAGAAGCGCAAAACTTATTTTATGTTACAGGTAGGTTACAAAAGATTACAGGGAGGTTACAAGGGGTTATACCGCTGATGTAACCCCCTTGTACCCTCGGCATAACCCCAATATCGTACGTAGTGCTGCGTACGTCTATTGCACGCAATTTTTTTCCATAAATAGGAAAGTTGAGGTGTGAGATATGTAATTAAATAAGAATATGTGCTATGTATGTAAATGCCCCTTTATATTTTTATGAATGGCATAATTTTATGCTGTATCTGTTTGTTCGATATGTTTAGAAAAGGTGATTGTTTTGTTGATTTATTCCTCAACAGTTTTGGGCTGATGTAAAGACGCCATTTGTATCCTCTCTCCTTTTGTAGGTTTTATTAACTACAAATGCTGATGGTCTGAGGTTTGTGAAAGTTAGAATGAGATCCGTCCGTATTCCTCAGATTGGAGATAAATTTAGTAGCAGGCATGGTCAAAAGGGAACTGTTGGTATGACTTATACTCAGGAAGATATGCCATGGACTGTTGAAGGCATTACGCCTGATATTATTGTGAATCCACATGCCATTCCCTCTCGGATGACTATCGGTCAACTTATCGAGTGTATCATGGGAAAGGTTGCTGCCCATATGGGGAAAGAAGGCGATGCCACTCCGTTCACAGATGTCACGGTATGTAAATCTAAAATGCCGCATCTATGGGATCTGACTGCATTTATGTTTATGAGATTTAAAAGCATTTATGAGATGCCATTCTGTTTTCTTGATAATTTGCGAATTTTGTCACATGTGAAGAAAATTTCAAGGGAAATTTAGATATGTAGCACACAACTCTTATGTATTTGCATATCTCACACATAAACTTTTTTATTTATATACATAGCACTTTGGTGCTTTAAACCTATGCTTGAAAATGTGTATTTCACTTTTAAAAGGTGGGAATAACATTATTTTTGATGTGATATTAAGTATTTGAGTGACGTGTATGTAAATATGAAGGTTTTTGTGTGATATTTAAATACATAAGAATTGCGTGCTATGCATGTAAATGGCCAAAATTTCAAATGCTAATACTATAATGAGTCAATACATGATTGCTCAATCTTGGTCTTTGTACTTATTATTATTTTTTTTTTTGAAAAGCATTCCTATTCAGAGATGAGGCTGTTAACTGTGAGTTGAGACTTGCGTTTTATGAAGATAAATGGATTTCTGTCTCTCTGTGTAGATCTTGGTTCAGGCCTATTTGAGGATTTATTCAGTTTGCTTTGATAACTTTTTATTATTATCTCAGTGATGTTGCATTGTACCAAGATGATGAGCTTACTTCTGATCCTCAATTTGAGAGTCTTGCTTCTTATACTTGATTATGGTTTCAGGTCGATAATATCAGAACCACTGTGCTGTGTACCTAAATATGAAAGTTATGGTTTCAGGTCGATAATATCAGCAAAGCTCTGCATAAATGTGGATATCAGATGCGTGGATTTGAAACGATGTACAACGGGCACACTGGTCGAAAATTGAGCGCCATGATATTCCTCGGCCCCACCTATTATCAGCGCCTTAAACACATGGTGGATGACAAGATCCACTCGAGAGGGCGTGGCCCCGTACAGATCCTTACGAGGCAGCCTGCTGAAGGCCGTTCTCGCGATGGTGGTTTGCGTTTCGGAGAAATGGAACGAGACTGCATGATTGCTCACGGCGCCGCTCACTTCCTTAAGGAGAGGTTGTTCGATCAAAGCGATGCATATAGAGTTCATGTCTGCGAGAGATGCGGGCTCATAGCCATCGCCAATCTGAAGAAGAATTCTTTCGAGTGTAGAGGTTGCAAGAACAAGACTGACATTGTTCAAGTAGGCTTTCTCCCATTCTTATTTTTGTCCGTTATCTTTAATCATTTCCAGTCTTATTATTGTCTCATCTGTTCTTGTTTCGAACCTGTAATAGGTGCACATACCATACGCCTGCAAGCTGCTCTTCCAAGAGCTCATGTCTATGGCCATTGCCCCCAGAATGCTCACCAAGGAAGAAAAAGTTCCCAGAAAACGAAGAAAAGATTCTGAGTGAGAGATTCCACCTGATGTTTTGCACTGTTTGAAATGAAGATTTCTAATGCATAACTTATGATTATGGCCTTCTTCTGCTCTTGTAATCAGTTGCAGTTGTCTTTATTCTATCATCTAATGGTTTGGCAATGGCTTTTGTTCTTGAGTCCTGGGTTTTGATTGTATGACAATAAGTAATGTAAATAGTGGATTTTAGGCTTCTAAATTGCTGGCTGTGTATGTTTAGGAAAATTTACATACATACCTACCAGTTCTTATTTATTTACATATCTAATGCCTGGACTTCTTTTTTGTTTTTACATACTATCTTACCTATGCATGAAGTTGGATTGGACAATCATGTTCTAAATATGTGGTTAAGAGTTATGGTCTAGTGATTTAAATGTTTAGTCTTTTTTTATTTTTTTATTTTTATTAATGGCTGTAGTTTGTTTCTTATCATTTTAAAACATAATTGTGTTATATATTTTTTAAAATAAGTTAAGGAATATTTACATGCATGCCACATAATCTTTGTGAATTTACATATTTAATATCTAAATTTTAATATTTATCTTTATATCATTTTATTTATAAACGAAAATGAGTATTTTATTTTTCAAAGTAACGCGCACGCACACACAAATATATATATTCTAAAAGGAATGACCTGAGGTTATTATACGAGCCTCGGCCATCCCTGATGCGCCTAACAATTCGAGTACTTCACCCTCCATTGGGGGGAATCGAACTCTAAACCAGAGGGGACTTACAACTGTCAAGCAGATGCACGACCAACTGATTTGAGTATGCATATATATATATATATATATATATATATAAAATATGAAAATTTTAAAATATTGTTCAACTCTTGCAAATTTAGTGAAAAAATTGTGTTTTATAACTTGACGTAGCTAAATACGGTCACTGTCAAAAAGTTATAATATGACTTTTTGAATATATATAAAAAAATATACTAGTCATTATAGTTTCTTTTGTTACAAACTTCACAGTTGTTTCTTCAAACAGCTACAATTATTTCAAATAGACTAAAAAAAACAAAGAGAATAAGAAAAATATCGAGCAATTTCTTGCTTGAAGATTTGTTTTTCTAATGCTTCATTGTCTCTTTGAATTATGGAGGTATTTTGATTCAAAATAAACTTTTTGGCATATTTTTTAAAAAGTGAAAACCATGAGCTCCAATTTTTACTATTTTAAGGCAAAAAATATTAAAATTTGAATATTACATAAAAAGCTATTAGACAAATTACAATAAAAGGGTAAATTAATTTTTCTCTCTTAAAATTCATTCAAAATGAAGTTATGGTACTTGAGTTCACTGAAACTTTATTGAAGTGAGTTAAAACAAAATTCAAATAAGAATTTGATCAAAATTCATCGGCTTTGAGCATGATTTGAACATGATTTTAGTCTAAGCATAATTTAGCCATAAGTCGAGCAAATTTGATTGAGAAATGAATATGACTCAAGCAATCTTTGACTATGATTTGAGCATGATTCAAGCCAACATTTTAGCTTGACTATACAATATTCAGGTGATATTTAAATATAATTTATACAAATTATAACACAACATAATCGAGCTCTTTTGCTTTTCATTGATAGAATCATATGCAAGTTTTATTTTTGTAACTCAAAGATGACATTTTTATAGCGAAAAAAAAGTTCTAGTTTCAAGAACATAAAACATTCTGAAGGGATGAGGAAGATATTGTGTAGTGAACTCGACGTATGGATGATGACATGGATCTCACCGTGTCACCAGACACACGATGTGGTGCGATCCACGCAGTTGCCGCACGTTCCGGCTGATAACAATTTAAATCAAATTGATGATAAAAAAATAAATATTAAAAAAATTTAAAATAAAAAAAAATAAAAAAATGTTTGAAAGTGAACCGAATCAACCAAATTTTGTTCGGTTCGGTTTAGTTTTGTCAGTTTTTCACATGATGCAGACCCACACGGCACTATAACTCCCACCGTCGGAGGAGAGACTCCCCTCCGGCTAGAGCCTCCCTGCACCGGAGATCCCTGCGATCTCTTCCTCCTGCTTCGTCTCCGCTTTCGGCACGCCTGGGTTTACGGCGATAGGGATTCTTCCGTTCTGGATCTCACCCAGTCATTCACCCATTCGTTGGGATCATGATGAACTCTGCAAAAGACAGGATCGCGAACCGGATCTCCCGCTTCTTCTATGAAACTCCCACAGTTTCTCACAACGACGACGATTCTTCCCCGGTTTGTCGCCCATTAATGCCTCAGGCACACATGCTCAACCCATCCTTTTCATTCGGCTTTGTTTTTTATGGTTTGTTAGTTTATTGTGTTTCTGTTTCTGGATTGATCGCTTGTATATGGATCATGGTTCTATCTTTTCCATGACCCAAATTGGGGTAATATTTTATTTAGTTCGGAGAACTTGTTAAGGAAGTTGTCAGGGATGGCAATGATGTTTTTATGTTGGAGATAGCCAGGCAATGAGTTAGGGTACTATTTTGGCGCTTTTCTCAAAATTAAATAATGCTGAAATAGGGAATGGACCAAGAAATAATCATACCGTTGGGAGGATTTAACACTTGTTAAAGCTACATAATTAAGTATCTTGAAAGCTAAAGCACAATGGTTTTGTTTGTATCAACTTTGTACTCTTGAAAGCTGCTCTCATGCAGAGTCAAATCCTTGAAATGAAAAGAAACAGTTTGCTAGAACAAATGCATCGTCCCAAAAAATTGGTGTCCTGAAACTCATTGCTGTACTTATGATGTCACACGAAGCTCTAATGCCTAGCTAATTCAAAGACCTTAGATTTCATTGCAGAGACTTATAAATTATAATCCTCGACAAAATGTCATTGTAGTAACTGGCAGCCAATGCCCCTTTTTGGGTGGATGGGGTTGGGTTTTTCTATCATGCCGTTCGTCTAAAAGTTATGTTTGATTTTGATTTGTTGGCTAATCTTAGGGCTACAAAATACTAGATTTTTTTTACATAGCCTTTTGTTGAATTTCTTGAATACCCCTTTGCTTGAAGATGATGCTTATTCAGGAGTGCGGTACCAAGAAACTATGTAAGCTAACATGCTTTTTGTTATTGCGGTTAAAGGACAGTGCTACTGCATTTCTAAATTTTTGAAATTAATAGTATATGGTAAACTAAAAGAAATTTTTTTGTTGTCACTAATTGAGTAATGTCCTTTAAATGTTAACTTTATTTTCATAAACTGCACCTTGATAAAATTATGAAAAATAGAAAATTGAGGTGATTTCTACCAATTTTCTAATATTAAAAAAGCACTTGCGTGAATCTCCCTTTCCTGAAGAGAGGTGCTTGCCATTTTCAAATGATTTGCTTGAGAAAATATTCGGCAAGTGGGTAGTGCCTTTGCCTAAGTTGGGTGTTTGTGGCATGAATGTGCTTGTTCGTCATTAAGTATCGCAAAGCAATGTCTAATATTCAACTTTATCATGAAATGTCAAAACTTCGTGTTGAAAATCATTATTATTCTTATCCCTACCCTAACTATTTAGGGAGAGCTTTATGAATCTTCCATTTCCATTTCTTGTTAAATGTTACATGGTGTTTCTATTTTTCATTTGTCTTTTTTACAACTTTTAGCCATGTTATATTTGCTTCACCTTTTTTCCTTCATAATATATACATATTAATTATGTCTAGTTGCCTTAATGGTGCATCTTGTATCTTAATGGTTTGTGCTTGAATCTCTTTAGTTTGTTCTTCACTAACTTCTATTCCTAATTTTCCACATAAAATTTTAATATTCCAATTTTTTTCTTCTCAAACTAAGGATTTCCTTTTCAGTGCCCAATAATTCATGTAGCTACCTCAATCTAATTTTTTTAATAGTGAAATTCACCTATGGGCTTTTACTTGGTGAGGCATATGAAACAATAAAAGAAGGTCTCTATAACAAGGGATTGCAGTAATTAACAACCACTTGGTTGAGTAATATTAATTTGATTTCTAAAGTGGATGTCTAAACTTTGAACTATTTGCAAAAAAGAAATGAGACGCTGGTAATATTTATATTTTTTTAAGTTTTAGTTGTTCTTTTCTATTTCTTTAAAATATGGGAAGATGCATTACAATTGAGTTCTCTAGTCTAGTCATTTATTGTAGTCCAGTGCAAGTGATGCCATGAGTAAGTTCAATTTTCACTTATGCCATGAATAAGGTCAATTTTCACATAGGACTTCTTTAGTTGCGGTTAAGGGGAAGCAGGAGGTTTAAAAAAAAAAGAAAGATAAAAGCCTCTTGTGTGTCAAAGTCAATTTCAAAAGTAGTTAAATGTGATTCTTTCTTTTTTCCTACAAAATTCTAACATCGCTCACACACACACATACTTACATTAATACATATCACGCATAGCATAATTTATATACTAGATATTACACTATTTTCTTACAATTATTTATTGAAATTAATTATATATGTATGCATGTGTGTTAGAGCGCGCGCGCATATTTAATTCAGAAAATATTGGAATATAAAAAATAATGAATTTGATAATAAATTATTACCTTTTTCTTATTATATTTATTGGTTTTAATAATATAAAATATATATTATATGGTGCATTATCATGTTTTATCCATATTTTTAATTCTCCATTAATTTTCTTGGAACTTTTTTATCATTAATTTTTCCCTCAAGGGTAAATGTTGATCTTCATAAAAGCTCTTTTTTGTTTTTGACAATTCTACTTAGTTATCTTAGACGAAATAAATTTTGATTTAAATTTAAATGCTAATTTGTTCAATTAATCTATCCATTCCATTTCTTATACACCACGAACTAGACCACCTCAACCATTTTTAGCATTAATGTCCCCATGTTAAAGCCCCAAACTTGACGAGTATACCAATTTTCTTATCATATAAGGATATTGATGATTGCAGTGATGCTCTCTTGGAAGATAATGTCAGGGTGGGAAAGAAGGGGGATGAGATGGACAAATGACACTACAGAGAGCGAGCTTGAAGTATTTTTTTATGTTGTACCTGAGGAGGATGCAAACTTCCATCACATCATGATTTAAGATTCAATAATGGTCAAGGGGGACTTAAGATCATTTCTCAAGTCTTGGATGACTTAGTCAAAGTTTTTAGTGATGTAGAAGATGAGAGGGTAAAGGAGAGTAAAAGCCCTTCCCGCTTTGCACCATAATCACTGACACTTGTACATATTTTTCTTTTACCATATGTTTAAGTTGTAACCTATCACTCATAGGTGGCATCTTAACAAACTCTTGACTATAACAATGGGGTTAGCTGGAAGCGCATTACCTATAGGGAGCACCTTTGCACTATAAAATTCAAATATACATTCGTTTTATGATTTTCTTGGGTGAAGCTTACAATTAACTGTTGATCTTAGATTAACACTTAACCTTCGTCAATGGGATTCGATGGGATTCGTTGAAATGATTTCTTATATATAGAGGAAAGAGACGCACGCATTGATGCAAACTCACAATTTTTTTCTTGATTTTCATCTCCCAGAAGGGAAAGTGCCACTTCAGCTTGCATATGGATAACAAATGTCTTTTGAGGTTGTATAAGTTGTTATAATTCAAGTCAATTGGGACACAATTCATGTTATTTCCACCTTGATCCCTAATTTTTAAAACCAAGTTGCTTGAGGTGAAAAGCAAATATGGGTGTGATGTAAGCACATTTTAGGTTTTCAATTCGATACATTTATAGTTGGTTCTACTGTTCCAATATAATGTTATAGTTAGTTTAAAATTAAGTTTTATCTACAGCTGTTCTTGTTTGGAATTGATATGCCTTATTCGCTGCAACAACTTAATTTAAATTGAAGGTAGGAGCATCGTGTAATGTAATTCAAGTTTTATCTAACTTGAACTGAACATTTTCACTTCTTGAATATAACCTAGTAATAATCTACTAAGAATTACTTGACGAAATTCTTGTGGGCATGCAGCTTAATTTTATCTTTTGAGGTTAAATAATTGTTGGATTCTTCAAATTGTCTGTTTTATTTTTCATCTATATGCTGTCTCTGATGATTTCGTGAGACCAGAATTTTCAGACTGAGATTATCCAATCTTGGTGGCAATTTTTTACCGTTTCTATTGTTGTGAATTACCTATTGACCATATGAAGACATGTCGCGTTGCAGATTCCTAACCATGATATAGCTTTCCTTTGATTGTGCAACTTGTTATTTTTTTTACTTTTGCATATTTTTTAGATGCAGGCATTTCCCATCATTAAGGATGAAATTTCTTCCCCTAAGAGATCTACTTCTTCAATTTTATCCCTGCTTCCGACTACATGCTCTGCTGTTGGGCAAAAAATATCATCTGGCATTCAGGATCATCTATTGTCTCCTTCTCGATCACATTCTAGAAGTTGGAAATATAAAAGTTTTGCCTCCAAAGATGTTCTTTTGGAAAATTCAAAGGTTGAAGAACCTGAAACCAGTAGTAATTGTACATCTTCTGTTTCTAAAGCAAATGTCATTGAGGTTTCTGAAAGGAGTGCTAAGACTACAGAGACAACTGAAGAGTTGTCTTCCTTAAAAGCCTCTTCAGTGTTGATTCCCCATCTTACGGAGAAATCAACATTTGTAACTGCTGATTTGTTTGATTTCCTTCATTCAAGCCTCCCTAACATTGTGAAAGGGTGTCAATGGGTATTGTTGTATAGGTATATATCGGTCTTACGTTATTTGCATATAGTTAAAATATCTTTTGTTTCTGATTTGCTGCTTTTCTGCTGTAATGACGGGCAGTTCCATGAAGCATGGGATATCGCTGCGAACGTTAATTCGTAGGAGTGCTAGCGTTACAGGTCCATGTTTACTAGTACGTCTTAGTCAGAAAATAGAAATCAAAACTTTTTGTGTGTTTTGATGATTTTTTTATCTACTTGAAATTTTATTCTTTATGCTTTAATTATATATATATATATATTAAGCAAGTCTTATTTATTGAGATAACTTGTATGCTAGGTTGTTGGAGACATGCAAGGAGCTGTATTTGGTGGTTTGTTGGATAGTCCTCTAAAGCCTACAATCAAACGAAAATACCAAGTATATGCTTTTCAGCTTTTTCCACACCGATAGATATTTTATCCCCGTTTCTTTTGATTGTTGTACCTAATTAGTTGGTGAATCATTGACCAAAAATATTGTGTTGATAGGGTACAAATCAAACATTTGTGTTCACGACAATATATGGTGAACCAAGGCTCTTCAGAGCAACTGGTAAGCATTCAAATAAGAAGTTCATCATTTTCTTTAAAAAGTTATGTATATCAGGTTATAGTACATGTGAATAGTGAAGAGATTGTTTTGCCAAATGAAAATTTGTCGTGGTTAATATGTACCGTGTTTGAAAGAGAAATTATAATTGCATCTTAATTTAAAAGAGTACTTTAGAGAAAGTTGAGAGTTCTTTCACAATTTTTCTTTCACAATTTTCCAAGGTGAGAAGATTTCGAAGTTTAATCACTTTCTTTTAGTGGCCTCAATGTGATTCACTGTTGTTAATGTTTTGCTAACCTGTTAATCCGTAGTACTGCAACTACTCACCTTTCCAATCCGGTTTGAACTATATTTGCATGTATTTTAGCTGCATCCACGCTACTACTTTTGTCAAGCCTTGATGCCCTTATACTTAAATTAACCGTCATTACTAATTAGACTAACACCAACAGCTACATCTCGGAACTAATTTTTTTACTTTTTGATAGTAGTTAAGTCTTGAATGTCCACTCCAATGATAGCAAATAACTCAGGAACACAGATCAATGGTCTGTACCATTAGATCAAAGCACATAGATCAAGGGTCTATACCGTTAAATCTGTCTCTCTATGACCCTCAAATTGCAACCCGCATGCTTTTCTACCGGTTCACTGACCTTAATTATTTTTTCTTTCTTTTTTAATTTATTTCTATTTTATAATGCCTCTGGAAATTGTATATATACATTCCCTCCTCTACAAAGAAGAGTGAAAATTCTTGAGAGTTTCTCATTACTTATTTTCTATGTGGCATCAGAAGAAGGTTAGGGTGTGCATTTCAACTTTTGTTTTTATTTTCTAATTTTAGCATTTTCTTTCCAATCTATATTCTTATCATCTATGGTTAGGGCTTCCAATTGCAACTTTATCTCTCATTTTGAATCATCTTTCTTTTCACAATGTCTAGGTTATTAGAATTCCCTTCAAATGAATCAACCATGATTAATTGTGAAAATCAGACCGAAGGAGAACTCTCGATATTTCAATCATTTTATCGCTTGAATGAGAAAAAATATTTTAAATGATCTCAAAATTTTGAAGTCATTCTAAAGGAAAATGAAAATATCCAACACTTTATCAATCTACCTTCAAATCCAAAGGACCCAAAATTTTTACTCTGGGAAGAAATTGATTCCGTGATCATGACATGGTTGTGAAAAATCACGCTACTAGAGATCAGTTGATTTTTTATGTTTCTCTCCACCTCAGAAGATGTTTGAGATGTAGTTAAACAAACCTATTCAGAAGTGAAAGATGCTGTACTCATCTATGAAATTAAATAAGATAACATTTCTTCATTGAATAATTTAACTCCATGAAGATTTATTGGTTAGAGTTAGATTACTATCAATTTCTCAAGTTGTGCTATTTTGAGGATGCGACGATTCTTATGAAATTCATTGAGCGTGACAGGATCTACAAGTTTTCAGCGTTTGACCAAATTCAAATTCATGTCTCAAGCATAGAGACCCTCTCTTCTGTGAATGAAGTATTTGTCACACTCCATCCGCTAGGCCTTTGAAGAGATTCACAAAACCTAGTTGGAGTGTGTGAATCGAAGATTAAGAAATAGTTCCAATCAATAAACATGTGATTTTAATAACATTTGATCACCAAATAAATTATCAGAGTGTATAAATCCAAAAGTTTCATAATAATCTATCTATTTAAATAAAAAAATAAGCTATGATTACAATATTGAATCAAATAAATAGTTTTTAATCTTAATCGTCTCAAATATTTCACTTGAAGCATGAGTATGCAAAACATTTTCTACCTGATGCATCATGCACAACCTAAAATTCATAAATTTCAAGGTGTGAGTTTGTTAGAAACAAACTCAATAGGTGAAATCTTATTGAGTAAGATATAAACAACAAGGTGCAGGGCATAATTTGAGTGAAGAAGGGGACTAGAATAAATTATTTCTTATATCATAACAATTTCAAATGTAAAATATGAATTTTCTAATTGAGATTTATCTAATGGTGCTCAACAAATAATAACGGAAAGAGAAATATACATAAACAAATGATCATTGGATCCATATGCTAAAATACCCACTCAACTATTTCTTATATATATATTCTATAGATAGCTCTTTGAGCATTATTGATCTCTTTATATATATATTACTATGACACACTAAAATCGGGACAGGTAGGCACTAAATCCAAAGAAATCAAATGATTCCTCTATGGACCCGTCGGTCCGACTAGCCAATTTCTTATAGGATTTAATACAGATACACACAAATATATATATATATATATATATATAGGGTTATATATGCACTTCATGAATTGCTTGCCAAAAATATTCAGGAATATTATCAGCATTATGTCATTGGTATGCATATATATAACCTAAATTATTAAGAATAAAAGGATCTGCGTACAACAGGAGTAATGCAAAGTTAAATATCATAACTACTTTGACAAATTGAATGTATAATATTTGTTCGACAATAAATCAAGGTAAAATCAACCATCATGTCATCTCAACATGAAAATGTGAAATATTGGCTAAATAAACACATTTCACATGCAATCATAAAAATAAAACAAACCAAAAAGTAACAAGGAATACGCCCCTAACGAGGAAGAGTAAAAAATCATCCGAATCTTGTTCTATTGCTAAAAAAGGTGTGATTTCTAATTTTTATGCTCTTAGTGTCTCTAATAGTTCCCTTTCATGAATTTTTGATTAAGGGGCCACCGTCCGCACGACAAATCTAACCAGTATATTTCAAAATTATAAACTTTATCATAGCAATAAAAAATGAAAGTTGTAGATGAATCTTCAAAAACTGTTGCACGATAAGGATACATCTTAATTTCTTACAATTTAACCCTCAGTAAGGTATTGCATATCCCTTTGCAGTTAATCTTTTATCTATTCACAAATTTACCAAAGATAACAAGTGTAAAATCATATTTTTTATTGATTATTTTGATTTACAGAATCTCACTACGAGGAAGATGATTGCGTAAACTAGAGAAAAAGGATGGGTTATATTTTCTGAAAGATCGATATCAACTTTCATACTCCTTTTACCTCTCATACTTCCGACGTTTGGACCCATCATTATAAATTAGGACGTCATTCTCTTAAAAATCTTTAGTGTATGTTTTTTTCGTTTTTAATACATACAAAATTAAAGTCTTTTATTGTGAAACTTACGAAATTGTTAAACATTATCTTGTTTCCTTTCCTGAAAGTAATTCTAGATCTTTTAGTCTGCAACAACAACAACTACAAAAAAACCCTTATCCCGCTGAGTGGGGTCGGCCACATGAATTCTTTTTCTCCATTGTGTCCTATTGAGTGTCATATTTTCATTTAATTTTAATGTATTAAGATCTTTTTTTAGACAACATGCCCAAGACTTTTTTAGGTCCACCTCTACATTTCTTAACATAAATCAAATCTAAAACATCTTCTCTGCTAACGAGATCATCAGATAGTTGATGTTTAATGTGACCAAACCATCTAAGACGAATATCTCTAATCTTGTTTTCCACTGGAGCTACATCAACACTTTTACGAATATATTTGTTTTGCATCATATATCTAAGTTTAAAACCACTCATCCACCTAAGCATTCTCATTTCAACAAGAGTTAACTTAGTTTTATGCTTCTCTTTCAGAGACCAACATTCTGCACCATAAAACATTTCATGTCTCACCACCATCTGATAAAATGTTACTTTAAGTCTAAGCGATACTTTTCTATCACACAATTGGTTCGATGCATTTCTGCACTTCAACCATCCAACTTAAATTTTACTAATAACATCCCCATCTATATCACCATCACTATGAACAATAATCCCTAGATATCTAAAAAGTTTACTTCTTTTAATGACTTGATCTCCCATTGTTACAATATCGCCTCTAGATATACTACTCAAATTACATTCCATGTATTAAGTTTTAGATCTAATCAACAAGAGTTTTTAGACTCTGAAATTGACTTCTAAAATTCAAGTTTTTCCTTTTAACTCGTTCCCTGATCGCATCCACAAGAAAGATATCATCATCAAAAAGCAAACATTAATGTACATTATTCTTGTAACTCAAACCAATCTCTGATGTAATTCAATTGAAGTAGGAAAATACTTGATCAATCATTCTTCTATTTGAACACGAGTATCAACTTTAGTATACATATCTTTAATGACTTGAGTATAAGTCATATCAATACTTTTCTTTTTTAAAACTCCCCAAAGTTCTCTTAGAACCTTATCATAATTTTTTTTCTAAATCAACAAAAATCATTATGTAGATCCTCCTTACTCTCTTACTGTCTTGGTACTTGTCTATCAGATCTCTTAATAAATGTATAACTTCCATAGTAGACTTGCTCGACTTAGATTCAAACTGATTTTGAGAAATACTTGTATCATGTCTTGAACTATGTTTAATTACTCTTTCACATAATTTTAATGTATGCCACATGAAATTAAATCCTCTATAATTTGCACACTCTTGTGCATCATCTTTATTCTTAAAAATAATATCAAAAATACTATTTCTACATCAGATATTTTTTTAGTTTTTAAAATAATATTAATATGTTTAGTAGCCTAAGAAATTCCTAAAACCCCTAATCATTTCACACTTCTATTGAGATTTCATCAAGTACTACTGATTTTTCACCTTCATTTTTTTTAAAGCTTCATCAACTTCTATTTACCAATGCGATGATAAAAATAAAATTTTGTGTTATTATTAACGATATTAAGATCACTAAAGTTGATCTTATTTTCAAAATTTTCATTAAAAAGTTTATCAAAATATCCTACCCACATATGTTGAATATCGTCATCTAAGAAACATATTTTTTTATCCTTATTACATTTTACTTTTCACTTTCTTGACTATCATATATATATATATATATATTATCTTTCACTTTTTTTTAGTATTTCTTCTATTATAAAGATCACTAAAAACAAAATTTTTAGCATGACAAATTATTTTCTTAGACTCTACCGACCACCATATATTTTTCCAATTTCTTTAAGTTCTTACATTTTAAATAGTTTTTTATGAGAAAACTTTTTATATTTTATCATTTCTTGGACTAACTATTTTTACTTTTAAGAGTTTCCTTTTAATTCTCTAAGTATATCTTTTGCAACTTGCTTAATAATAATCTTTATTTTATTCCACGTGACATTAGCTTCTTCTTTAACATCCAAAATCTTAAGATCTTGAAGTTTACTCATAAAAATAATTTTATTTGTATTTTTAAATGCCTCCATCTAATTCTATGATAATATTTTATTATATTTTTCATCTTCCAACCATCTATTTTAAAATTGAAAACCAATAATCGATATTAAGTACTTAAATTCTCACTTTGAATGACCTTATAATCTTTATAATCTTGATATGTTTTTTATCATAAGAAAATAATCAATTTATGTTTTATTAATTTCATTATTATAATGATATGCTCATCTTATTTCATAAATATGGTATTAGCAATATAATAATAAACTAAAACAAAATTCAATATGACTGTCTTTTTCATTAGTCACGCTAAAATCGTAGTCTTTATGAATATTTCTTAAATATTATACAATTCTATCAACATGTCATTTAAATCTCCTTTAAATATGGTATTAGCAATATAATAATAAACTGAAACAAAATTCAATATGACTGTCTTTTCCTTAGTCACTCTAAAATCGTAGTCTCTATGAATATTTTTTAAATCTTATACAATTCTATCAACATGTCATTTAAATCTCCTCCAATTTCTGTTCTATTAAATTATTAAATTATCTTAATATCGACAACAATCTTTAAGTTTATAATATTATCTTACAAACTCTAATATATAATTACACCTACACCATTCTAAATATGACTCATACCTGAATACCAATGTTTAAAATCTAAGCTATTAATCTCCTTAGCATTTTCTCCAATCCATTTAGTTTCTTGAATCTATAAAATATTTATCTTTTTATGAACGAAAATATCTATTAATATCATTAATTTATCTATATAAGTACTTATATTCCAAGGTTTTATCTTAATATTAGTTTCATGTGCTAACTGTTTGCCCACATCCGTCCATAATTTGAGAATCCTTATTTATTTACATTACACATGGGTGCCGATACATCGACCCTTGCACAATTTTCTCTGTATTCAAAGCATATAGTGTGCCGGCTTTAGGGGACGCCATAATATTGACACAATTATTTAAATGATTTGTGCCATAAAAATTTTATATTGTCTAATATCTTATGCAACCCTCCACTTTTCGTATCCGGAGTTTGGGATCTGACGAGTGTTTAAATTTTATTGTTGATGATGACATAGTACAAAAAGTTAAATTTTAAGTTCCTACCTATGATGGTCAAATTAATCCTAAACTTTTTACTAATCAGTTATTAAAGTTTGATAATATCTTTGCATGGTAAACCTTGCCAATTATTCTTGAGAAGGGTTGTATTGGATCGCTAAAATTTAATGGATGAGTATGAAATGATAACAACGATTCACGAAAACAAAATTAATTGATGGTTAGCCTTTAATGGATGATTATGAAATGACATAAAATTAAAGAACTTAAAATTTTTTTTTTTCTTTGTTATATTGATTGATTATTTAGTGGATTTAATTTGTTAATTTGTCAAAGCAAGGTACCATAATTATTTATTACTTTGGTTTTGAGATTATGTCAGTGACTATTGTTGAAAGGGTTGTATTGGTTGTCAGATATTGCATTTTATTTTCGAGCTTTAGGATAGTTTATTTTGTTAGTATTATTTCAATCTTGATTTGGCTGAGGTTAATTTCTACAAAAAGATTGGGAAGGCTATGGAAAACTACTATTTTGTAATGCTATTTGGAGTATTTGGAGATTTTCATTTTATTATTTTCAAAGTAAAGGATGAAAAGTTAAAATATATAAAATAAAGAGGTGGCGTGATTCATACATCTTCTCTAATTGAGGACCTTCCGAATTTGTGAACATGCAAATTTTAAAAGTGGACATGCACTCCTTTTTCTTATTTAACTACTAGTAAAGTTGCTCTTGCCTATGATAAGTATTATGAACACACGAAGAGGTTATTTTTGTTATGTCAATACTCTATTCATAGATGAAGTGAAGTTATAAAAGTTCCATAGTCAAGGAATTGATAAGCTCGATGAATACTAATATTATGTTCATGTTTAAGATCATACTAAGTTGCGTTTAATTATACATCCTCATTCTTGCATGGATTTCAATTGCCTTAATAAACTAATGCCATGATTGAAATCTGTTAATGCTGTTTAAAACTATCTATTTGATCTCTTGTAACTGATTCAATTGAATGAAGCCTTTATTTTGTCTCTTCAATTGGGTTCTATTTCGTCCATGAATTTTTTTATATTCAGAGTTTATTTAGAGTTTGTGTTTTATAGTGCTCTTTTACGTAGGTGCAAATAGGTTCTACTATTTGTGCTTGAATGAATTCTTAGCATTTGGAGGTGGCGGTAGCTTCGCAATATGCTTGGAAGATGATTTGTGAGTATCAAGTGTTTTTTCCTTTGTTCAAATACTTTTTGTAGAACATATAGTGAAACAAATAATTTTATGCTGAATTTAAAATCTATTTTTGTTAATGATTTTGCTCTCTTTGGAAGATTGCGGGGATCAAGTGGACCTTCTGAAACCTTTGGGAACTTGTGCTTGGCTCACTCTGAAAACTTTGAATTGAAGAATGTGGAGGTAATATTGAAGGTGTTGACATTATGTTGTTAATACATACAATTCCATGTCACTTTTTATTGTCGAGTATGCCAAGTACCGCTTAGATTGAAAGGAAAATTTTATGATATGGTGATGAGATCCGAAATGCTCTATGGCGCAGAATGTTGGCCTTTAAAAGAGAAGTAGAAAACAAAGTCAAGTGTTTCCGAGATCAGAATGCTTGGGTGGATGAGTGGCTTGCAAATAGAGACAAAATGTGAAATGAACATATTTGTGATAGGGTTGGTGTTACTCCTTTGGCGGACAAAATTAGAGAAATTTGTCTTAGATGATTTGGTCACATTAAATGTCCACCTTTGATGATCCGGTTAGAAGAGTGGATGTTTTAGACTCGACTTATGTTCAGAAGGGTAGAGGTAGACTTAGAAAGACTCGGGCATATTGTATAAAAAATGATCTTAATTTATTAGAATTAAATGAATAATATGACACTTAATAGCACACAATGGAGAAAAAAAGGATTCATGTAGCTAACCCCACTTAGTGGGATAAAGGCTTGTTGTTTTTCTTATTTATTATTATTTTTTTTTTTGGTTATTTTGCATGGATTGTGGATAAGTGTGAGAACCAACATTTGATCTGCTGTTTGAAATTGAGTAACTTTATGCATCTAAAGAATTAGTAAGCACACTTACTAGAGAAATAATAAATATTGCTAGATTCCAAGCAACTAAATTTGAAAAAGGAAAATATCCAAAATTGTTAGGGATGGTCATAAAGCTATATGCTATTTTAGTAATGCGGAAAATGAGAGTGTGTATAACTGTTAATAGATAGAGAGTTGAAAGGAAAAGGTTGTTGACATGAATAAGATAAATTATATGTGGACTGCTATTAAATTTTTTATTAGTGAGGTATAACTATGATATATCTAAAAGAACGTTTGAAGAAATTTTGGAAGCAATGAACGGACCATCCTTTCATCAACAGAAGCATTTTTACTTATAGAATCAACTATCTTGATAATCAATGAAGGGTTTGAGACGGGGTAAATAATACAGTGGAAGAATAATGATTCCAGGGTTGATAAGATTCTACATTTCACTTCTAGAAAGGATTTTTATGCTTCCCTTCCAGCTAGCAAGTACTTGTTATTTGAATAGATTTGGAACCCATAGGAATACCAATATACTTGAGAGGAAAGGATTCCACAACATAACTCAACGTGTCTTGGCATGGTTTTCTCTTTGTCTGGAAATTCTTCCTAGATAAAAATTGAAAACCTACTGAAGTTAATAATAAGTTAAGAAGCTTTACTTATAAGGTGAAAAATAAGTTTTAAGTAGTTTGCACCTTCGTTTCTCCTTAAAAAAAAATGATTGTCATCATTATATTGAAAAGCATTTATTGAAAACCGAATGAAATTAATTCATGAATCTGAAAATTGACCTTTTTTCATCTTTTTTTTAATTCCAAATTACACGCACAATTACCCCTCTCTTTCTGTACCCTGGATAACTTCATCGTAACATATCTCACCTACTCATGTTCAATATAGTTTTTTTTTTCTTTTTTCATGAAACCCGAGATACACAGTGCAGATTTTCGTATTCCCCTCTTCCTGCCATGTTCATATCTTTTTGTTAATTCATTTTCCTTCCTTTGCAAAAGTATTTTTCGAAGTTAATGTTATGTACTCTGTATAAATTCATGAAAATGGCCGTAATGATATAATATGTTTTTTTGGGATAATTACATATAGATCACCTGAAACCTCGATATTTACAAATTAACCGCCAGTTGATATTTTTAAACTACCGAACCTATGTATTTACACGTGCCATGATCAAAGCATTGATAATTTGATAAAAATGAAAAATATAGGTTGGGGTTTTACCATGAAGTTTGATATCTGAGCGAGAATTTAAAAAAAATGGATGAAAGAGGTGATTCATTTGTAAATAGCAAGTATCGGTGATCTGAATGTAATTGCCCCTTTTTTTTTCTCTCATAAATTCTTACTCTTCAATGAGCTCTTCCG